TCCCACCCCTGCCCATCCTGCCCTGAGCCACATGCTCCTTCCCTGCAGCCTCCTCTGACAACCTGGCGAGGCTCTGGTGCGTGGAGACTGGGGAGATCAAGAGAGAGTATGGCGGCCACCAGAAAGCTGTCGTCTGCTTGGCCTTCAATGATAGTGTGCTGGGTTAGCCGGGCCCTCTTCTCTGCAGCTATCCCCACAGCCAACAGACTGCATGTGGCAGCTGGGCGAGCCCACAGCCCTCACAGGCTTGGAGCCACACAGTGGGGCTGACAATGTGCCCCCCACTACCCGGTTCCTCTCCTTCCCAGACTTCAGAGTGTCCTGAGCCACAGAGGATACCAGCATGGCCAAGTGGAGGGGGGTTTATTAGTCCCAGTGTGGCACTGGTGGTAGGCCCGAGGGGACAGGACTGCATGGGCTCAATCAGGCAGGTAATAAAAGCAGACTGACACACAGATGTTGTTGGGAAAGCAGATGTCGATGCAGAGGTAGATCAGCCGCTGCCTCGGGGGCCCTGGGAGAGGAGGGGTTCTGTCAGTTCCTTCCAGAGCCCTCTCTCCAAGTCCCCTCCCAACCCCCCCAACCCCCCCGCCATGGCCCTCAGCTGGGCTCCTGCTCCCTCACCCTCCATGTGGTGGGCCCAGTAGATGGGCATCTGAGTGCACAGGAGCCGCACCGCAGCCCCCACCTGGGCAGGATCCACCTTGTGTCTCCCAGACACGGCAAGCAGCTCCTGGGTGGGGCCAGCATCCCGTCCTGGGTCTTGAGTCTGTGAGGCCTGCAGGAGAGGGCAGGGTGGGATGGGACCCAACCTGGGCATACCTGACTTGGTGCCCACTCCAGCTCCCGCTGCTGCTGCTGGCCCAGCCCCGGGCTCCCTTCAGAGGGAAGATAGCACCTTCTGTTCCCCCTGAAACCTGAGCCCCAGCAGGCAGCCCTCTAGCCAAGTACCACACAAGGCCCTTTGTCTGCTCCCTCACCCTGGAGGTGTCTGCCCTGGCAGAGGCCACCAACAGCTGCAAGGTCTCCTGGTCCCGGGGTTTCATGCGTCGCAGGAAGCAGGCTGGGTGCCCTGCAGGTCGGTAACAAACACAGTCCTGGAAAGGCAGTGGTGAGAATGCTCTCCCACCCCCACCCCCCACGCCCACCCAACCCCCAGCCCCCAACCCACTCACACTTTGTCCATCAAATAGCACCACCCAACTGCCGTTGTCCCTAGGGGGGGTCACAGTGACGGTGGCTGTGTTCTGGGCCACATCCACTAAGGTGGTTTGGTTGGTCCGGGGCAGCTGGGGGCTTGGGAGGGTCAGGCGGAACAGCTGCAGCAGTGGCTGAGAGGGAGGGAGGGCCAGGCTGAGACCCCCCCAGCCTAACCCAGGATCTCCAACATCATCTGGGTGCCCCCCAGCTGGCCTCTACCACTGCCCTCGGGGGAAGCTCACCTTGGGAGGGTCGTGGGCGAAGCCAAGAATCCCTCCAGCCACGGCCCCAGCAGCAACCCCTGCCAGCAGCAGCAGCAGCAGCCCCGGGGTTCTCCACCCTCCGGGGCAGGGTGGACTCTTCACCTGGGGAGACAGGGCCTTGTTCGGGGTGGTGGGGTAGGAAATGGGCACGACCCAGACCACCCCAGTCCCCATTCCAGGAGAGGGCCCTGGGGTGGGAAGACCTCACCCCCACCCCAACAGTGCACTACCTGGCAGTCCCCCGATGACTCCATGCCGCAGCCCCTGCTGACAATGTGCTGATTGTCCAAGGCCCCTCGGGGAGTCAGCCAGGGACACTGCGATGAGCCAAACACGGTCCGGTCCCCCTCCCCTTTAACCCTATCTGCTCCTCCCCAAGGAAGCCAGCCACCTGATACCCAGCCTGGCCCAGTGTTGCCTCTTCCCTTAGTGTGGGGCTGAAGGAGGGTTTCTCGCTGTCTGTGACTGGAGGCCACTGGAGAGTGGCCCTTGGAAGGTGAAGTGGACCCCTTTTGGCTCCTTGTGAGGTCTGGCTGGAGGCACCCAGGTGGCTCTTCCTGGACCTGCAGATTCCCAGCATAGTCTGATACTCATGGAGCTACTAGTAATTGCCAGTACAACCCATGATCTATGTGGTGACCACACTTGCTCACCTCCCAGCACATCCCTGGCCTCCATCCATCAACTCAAGACAGGACAAGGCCCTGGGCGGGTACCGAGCAAACCCTGAACCTACCCTTGCCAGTGAGTGCCCACGCCCAGCCTTAATGCCACAGCTGCCCTGTCACTAGCTGATTCCCAGGGTTTATCTGCCAGCGGGGGCCAGGGCACACCCTGGCACTGACCACAAGAGCACTTCTGCATCCAGGTGGTGTAGCCTCCTTGCTAGAGCTTGGAGATCAGGTGACCAGCCCCAGATCCAGAACCCCCTACCCAGGCAGGACAGTGGGCTAGGCCAGAAGTAGAATTCAGAAAGAAAAGACCAAGAGCCAGCAAGCAGGTGGGTGTGAGGTTTAATCTGCGTTCAGGGTCTAAGTCCAGCGGCCGCCGCCTCTGCTGCGTGCTCCTGGGGTGGGGTACACTGTCTAGGCCACTTGGAGCAGGACCCAGGTCCACCTCCCACCTCAGCCAGACTCCCACTTCTGCCAGCCTGCCTGGATGCTGAGCACTCAGGACACCCTTTATTGCTGAGAACTGAGGGAAGGAGGCAGGGAGGGCTGAGTGGAAGTGCTGGGGATAGTGCAAGTTAGCCCAAAGGCACAGCCCTGTTGTGGGCCACTCCCCAAAGGTCAGTACACCCAGAAAACAGGAAAGGCCAGGGCCACTGCCAACTGGCTTTCTGAAGACCTGGCCTGTTCTCCCACTGGCTGCTGCCAGGGGAATCCAAGGCCAGGGTAGGTGGCCATGAGCACCTAGTCCCTACACAACCCGAGGTCATTTGAGAGCAGGAGACTGGACTTCCTGTTCTTGGAGACACACCTTCCCCCACCCAGAGGGCATTAGGACTTGTCTACTGGGATTGTCCCCTAAGAGAGAGACAGCTGTCATTGGCACACTCCTGGTTTCATTCCATCACGTGGCAGTGTTATCTAAGAGGTCTTCTACAAAAGTTCGATTCTGGGTGCCAGAGCTGCTCTGAGCTGGAACCAGCAGCCTCCGGGCCCAGCATGCGTCAGCTGGATGTGAACTCACACTTGAGACACCGAGGGTGGATCCCAGGCTGGATTTGCAGAACTGAGAGCTGTGACAGACGGTAGTCTGGGAGTTCAGAACGGAACAGGCGCTCAATTGAGACATCAGTGTGGTTTTCAACGTGGTAGGAAGGGCAGCACCCTTCACCCCAAGTGGGGGGAGATAAGATGCTATGGGGATGGCCCTCTCTTCTACGCCCTCCTCCATGAGGAGGGTGGCCCCATTTCCACCACTTGGTCTGTCCACCTTGCTCTCTTCAGCCACCAGCATCAGCCCCTCCCCTGCAAGGGATTTAGTTCCTGGACAAAGTTTCCAAGACCTACTGGGACATACCCACCTCGTTCCCCAGGGTTTTCTTGGAGCCCGGGCAGATATCAAACCCCCTCAAAGCCCTTCACGCTTCAAAAGTGCATCTTAAAAATACAAGCATCTGTAAACAAAGGTGCCTAGTTCCCCCACCTCCACAAGCGTCGCTTATGAGGTTCCACTAGGAGGACGGTGGGAAGTGGTATAGGGCTGGAAGCCCTCTAGCTGTGGGCTGCCTGAAGTCCCTCCTAGTAATTTGGGGAAGTGATTTTTCCAAAAAAAAAAAAAAAAATTTTTTTTTTTTTTTATTCTGGAGCAGAAAGACAGGCATCCTTCAGTCTTGAAGGGCGGCTAGCAGGTCGGCTATGCTGTCCACATAGAAGTCAGGAACCATCTTCTTCTCTGACAGGCAGTCACTTTCCTGGTTCCTTTTCACATCCTCCAGTGTGGACACGCCCGTAAGGGTCAGAATGGTCTTCAGGCCGCAAGTGACGCCCAGGAGGATGTCTGTGTCCAGCCGGTCCCCCACCATGACTGTGCGCTCCGGATTGATATCATACTCCTGGGACACGCAGTCGAAGATGAAGCGGCTCGGCTTCCCAATGATGTCCGCCTGACGCTGGGCAGCCATCTCCACGGCACGTACGAGGCAGCCAGTACCTGGGTGGTCAACGAGAGAGAGAGTGTGTGTGTCTGTTTGGGGGGGGGGGGGTAGGGGGGTGCGCCTGGTGGAGAGGGACCCCAGGCCGACCTCCCAGCCCCGTCCCTCGTACGCACCGGCGATGAAGTGGCCGTTCTCCAGCGGGAGCCGGTTGTCCAAGTTGGTGCCCACAAGCAGGCAGCCGGGCTGCTGCAGGTGGCGCAGGGCCTGCGTGAGCTTCATGTAGCTGAAGTGCGGGTCGAAGCCAACCACCACGGCGCGCACGCCCGGCTCCAGCGGCGCGGCCAGCCAGTCGCCCGGGCTGTCGCCCCGCAGCGGCTCGGGCCCCACGCCCACGCTGGCGATGCCCACAGCCTCCAGCTCGGTCGCAAGCGCGGGGCTCCCCAGCACGTAGGCCTTGGGTGCCGGTGCCCCAGCCAGGCGCTGGCGCAGGTAGAGCGCGGTGCAGTAAGCCGTGCCGAAGACC